ATTAAATAACCTTATTGAAAGTATGCCGAGAAGGATTGAAGCATGTATTTCTAATAACGGGTGGCCAACGGAATATTGATATTTTTTTTAAAAAATTAAAAAATTTGAAATGATCACCATTAAAATAAAATTTTATAATTTATATGTAGAATCGTCAGAACTAAGCCATACAATGACACAAATTTTATGCACTTTCGTTATGTGGAATTTTGCGTAATCATCGAAAAACATCGTCCGAATACTTTTTGGAGGGCAGTGTATATGTATTATAAATAGTTATATAAAACATCTCAAATAAAGTATTTTATTATTTTTTTTAATAAAAATATTGTTTTTACTTATGTCGTTTTGGAAATTAAAGTTCAAAAAAGACTTTTAAAGCAATGTAAGAACCAATTTAAAATCAATTTTAAAACCGATTTAACTCCAACTTAACTCTGGTCGCAATGAAATGAAAAAAAATTTCTGTGGTAAAATTAATAGGATAATCATATGTTAAATAACATTTTTATCAAGGTATCACATAATTTACTTATTGAAATGAGTCAATCAAATCCGCCCACACGAACAACTTTTTTTTTTCATAGAATATTTTCTACAACATGCATTTGATTTATTTATTTCCTTTTTTTTTTTTTTTATTAATAATAAAAGTTCTTTACAACAAAAAAAAGTAACGAACATATTACATTAAAAGAAAATCATTACCAAATTTAGTCGTGAGATTCAAAACACGAAAATTATTGTTGCACTTTAAAAAATCTATGAAAAGAAAATTTGAGACAAATTTTTTTTTAGATTAATAGACACCCTTTTCAAAATTGAATTGAATGGTGGTGGGTTTTTTAAAAATCCAATGTGTGGATCATATAATATTTCAAAAATTTTAACTTTTGAGTATAGATGATCCGCACTGTATTAAATATATGAAAAAACTGAGTAAAAAAAAATGTTATTAACGTTATATATAATAATAAATGTTTATTTCGAGGAAAGTTAAAATAGCTGTTTTCTGCTTTTGCTGATTTATAGAAAGATCTCTCATAGAATTATCTAACCATACTACATATTACAGTATTAAATATATAAAAAAAAAATTCGAGTTAAAAAATGTTATGGTGCACGTCATCTATAAACGTCAATACAGGTCACACTCTTTATAACGGTCCACACTCTATAACGAACTGAGAATCGAGTCCCAATTTTTATTATCATTATACGAATTTGGGTTGGGTAACCATTCAATTATGATGACCCGTGCAGACCTCTATGTTGTACTATGGTAAATCATTTATAAAATTATACATAAAGCGAAGTTTCTTTAGGTGGCGCGCCGAACAGGTCAAAGGTTAAGTAAATGCCATAGTTAATTGTGACATTTACTTAACCTTTTGACCTGTTCGGCGCTCCATGATACAGTCAAACCTTGTCACAGCGGATTATAATTAAATTCTTGTCATGGCGGATTTTTAAAATTCTTACTTCACATATAAAAACATATAAAAATCCGTTGTGGCAAGATTAGTAATCTTGCCACAACGGATTTTAAATAAATTTTCTTATATGTCCCGTTCATCCGCTGTGACAAGGTTTGACTGTAAAGCGATATTATTCGTCTTATCAAGTTATATTTAATATATGTGGAACCATATCTTAATCATTTAAGTGAAACAATAGAAACATTCGTCTTATTGAGTTGATTTTATTAATAAAATGAGGAAACTATAAAAACTTCGTTATTATTATAACAAAAATTCGTTTTATTTATCGACAAATTTAATTAAGTTTATTGGCCAGATTTTTATTAGGCAAAATTTTGTTTTGATTTTTATCAATCGTATACAATAATAATAACTGTATAATGTGAACAGAATTAAAAAATTCAATATTAATACATACACGTGAGAATGATTTTATTATTCCCATTACTATTTCGTTCTTATTCGCATGTTATGCTTTTAATGCGCCAATTACGTTCGAGGCAATTTAATCTTTAAAAGAAATCTTCTATTTTGATGAATTTATACATAGGTAAACTCGATAAGTCAGCCGCGAATGGCTGAGTATGTTTGGCTGACTTATCGAGACTGTCTTACAGAGAGAGCACGTGACATATTTTTTTTTTGAATTTTATTATTATAAAATTAACAAAATAAATAATAAAACAGAAAAAAATTTTTTTTCTAAATAAATAAATGTATTTTGCGCAATACAAACAAGAATATTCTTTCTAAATTATCAGGCAATAAATTATTATTATACAATCAATGATGATACAAAAATGAATTAATAAAATATCGTGACAAGTCATAAAATTTCTATAAATAAATAAAAAAAAATCATACGTTACTAAAAGTAGTAATGATGATCTTTTATTTGATGAAAATGTCACGTGAGGATGACTTATCCTAAAAAGAGGGATTGGCTGACTTACAACTTAACGCGACTTTATATAGGTTGGCTGACTTATCAAGGGATTTTAAATAGGGAAAAAAAGGGCTGACAAATTTTGGCCGAGTTAGGCCAAAGCCGACTTATCGAGTCTACCTATGTAGTAATAAATATTTAGCAATATGCCCATCTACATATTATGTTATATGTGTTATATTATTTAAAATGATAAAAATGACATGTTGCATTTACCTCTAAACAGTTTCATATTATACCAAAAAAAAAGTTAACTTTTTAAGTTCAATTCTTAATTTTTTGTAAAAATTGAATTTGTAAATAATATTTTTAATTTAACTTACCTGTAATATTATCAGGTTCCTTGTTTCTTTTATATACTGTTAAGTTTGCTGATTCTTTTTAATGTTTAAATTCCGTACATGTTATTAAAATATATACATATATTATTATTATATATATTCTAAACCTCTTTATTATAAAATTCATTCATAATATTGCTATTGGAAAACGTTTGATCAGGTTTGATCAGGACATGGAGTATGATAAAGAAACTTGAAATTTACGTGCCTATGGAAAAAAAATTTTTTTTAATAGGATGATTATTGTAGTAATTGTGTAACAATTTTTGGAAAATGAATCGACATTTGAAAATTCCGTTATGTTAAGGTCTCCTGCTATGCTAAATAAATATCAGTCTTAATCTACATTTTACCCATTAAAAAAAAATTTTTTTATAATACAAAAATGTCTGCAAAGAAATTAGGAACACTTGTAGTTATAGCTGTAAGAGCTGTAAGTTATCTTTCTTTGTTAATATTAAAATTTATTTTGATTTTCACAATCTAAAAAACCTATTTTTTTAAAAGAGAAATTTAATATCTCGTGAAGTATTTGGTAAAGGAAATCCTTATGCAACATTTCGTATAGGAGATAAAGAAGAAAAAATACCACCACATAAAAAAGGAGGGCAGCGTCCAGAATGGGATAAAGAAGTTCGTTTTGAGCTTTTCGATGTTTCACACCACAAAAAGATGATAGTTAAAGTTTTTAGTGATAAACTTATTGGAGACACAACTATTGATCTAGATAAAGTCCTCACTAATGGTGAATGGGATGGTAATTGTTAAATTGTCACATATTATATATATTTATTATATATTTATAAAATTTTCTTTGATTTATTATTAGAGTGGCATGAAATTAGATATCGTAATAAATATGTAGGAGAAATTCGTCTTGAAATGACATTTTACACAACAGGAGTTTCAGCACCACCACAATACAAATCTTTTAAAAAAAAAGGACCATCACCATCGCCATCGCCATCGCCATCGCCATCACCATCGCCATCACCATCACCACCACTTACACCGATTGAAGAAGAGAATGATAATGATAATGAAATAATTAATAATAAGAATAGATCTTACAGAAGTCAATTTGAATCTATCGAATCTTTGCTGAAGGAAACTTTTCAACCGTCACAAATCACAATATTAAGATACCCTGGTGTATTGCATCAACATTTATTATATTTTGCCAAATATATTATTGAACAATCAACAATCCCACTGATAGACAATCCACAAATGACTTTTGAATGTTGTGATATCAATGATGTTGCTAGATCATGCTGTCACATACTTTACTGTCCTCCACAAAGGCATGGAGGGAAGGAATACAAAATAACTGGCCCAAACTTACTTACTATTGATGAAATTGGATCAAAAGCATCATTAGGTCTTGGTTGTGATATTAAGATAAAATTGATGCCTGTCAATCAATTAAAGCAAGTATTGATGGACTTGACTGCTGACAATAAACTAACTGCTTATTTGTTGGAATTATGGGGTTTGCAAGGTTATTTGGGGATTTCTCATAAATTACAAGTAACAAGAGATCTTGAACTTATAACAGGTGGTGGTGGTTCAAACCTAAGAGAATTCTTTGAAAACAATAAAATTGCATTTAACCAACAAGAATAAGTACAGGAAGAATAATAGCAACAATAACAATTAGAATAATATTAACATTAATTAGTTTGATGATACATTTTACAAAATATATTATATAGATTTATATTATTTGGATTGATAATTATAATAATAACATTTTAATAATGAGCTAATATGTCTAATTTTTTATCTAGATGTTTTATATTGTAAAATTGATTATTTTTTATATAAACCATGCATTTGTACATATTCCCTATAATATATTTACATATAAAACAATTTATAAATTTTTTCAATATAATACAATTATAATAAACATATAAATACAATGTATATTCACATATTTATTAATTTTATATATAGTTTGAAATAATGATTTTACTTGTAGATAAAGTTGCTGCTCTTCAATTGAGAGTTTTAAAAACCAAATTATTGTTAGATATAAAGGTGGATGACAATGCATAAAACAAAATTTTATAATGTTTTAATTGGAACAACAGGTTGATACTTATTTATTTTATTAAACAACTTTTTTAAATATCTAAGGTCCAGACCATTAGAAGATGACATTTGTTAAGTATATTACTAGCTATATGCATTTTTATTATTCTCAAATACCCAATTAAACTAAAAAGAACAACAATACCCATCACCTATGATCTGTATGATCTGCATGTCAATATGTATTAGCAATAATAAGCATTTGCAATGTGTATATAGGACATACTGCAACAAAAAGCATTGTGGACATTTGATTTCATTGGCTAAATTATGTGACAATCTCCCCTCCAGATATCACGCAAAAATTAAATTTTATTGGCTTGAAGATCGTTACGCAAATTTGAAAAACAAATATTAATATCGGAGGGAAGGAAATTTAGTTCCAAATTGATAAAAATAAAATGTTTATAATAAATAAAAAAATTAA